TTTAAAACCAGCACCAGAGATAGTACAAAAACTCGAAGAAGCAAAGCATAATTTATTAGAAATCAAAGAATAGGAATTATGCATAGAAAAAGAACATCCTAAAAAGAAAGAAATACAGAAAAGATACCGAAAAGCTTTAAGTGCACTTAATCAAAAAGTAAAAGATCATGATCATATAAATAGAAAGTACCGAGGCCCAGCTTATGACTCTTGTAATAAAAAGTTGCGTATAGGCTCTTTCGAAACTAAAGTGCTCTTATCTGTCATAATTTCCGAGGGTATAACTCTCATCTGCTTATGAAAGTTGTGAGCAAGTTCATGGCTGATAAGCTAAATTGCATCCTAGAGAATATAGGAAAGTACAAAGCCATGGATGTAGGACAGCTTCGGTTCTTAGATAGCTTTTAGCATATAGGAATAGGGCTAGATAAATTGGTTAAATGCCTAGAGGGGAAAATCGAAAAATTCACTCTAAGTGTTAAGTATTTTACTGAAAAAAGCTATTCAATAGACAAGATTAAGCTTCTTTTTCGAAAGGGTGTCTTTCTATATGATTGGACAAATACATGGGAAAAATTCGACAAAACAAGCCTCCTGTCTAAAAAGGATTTCTATTCACTTCTTAGTCGACAAAATGTTAGTAAAGAGGATTACGAACATGCACAAAAGGTATGGCAAATATTCGAGATAAAAAACTTTGGAGAATATTATGACCTTTATCTTGAGACTAATATACTTTTACTTGCAGATGTTTTCATGAATTATACCATAATGTGTCTCAAAGACTATAGTCTAGATCCATCTCACTATGTCTCTGCACCTGGAATGTTTAACGATTCTCTATACAAAAGTAGCAGGGTAGAACTTAAGCTCATGACAGATATGAATGAGTATCTGATAGTTGAAAATAGAATCCGTAGAGGAATAACAATGGCATATCATAGATATGCCAAAGCAAATAATCTGCAATGTCCAAACTATGAGTTCAGCAAGCTGAAGTCTTGGGTCTTATATGAAGATATGAACGCCTTATATTCAGGTGCAATGACCCAATACATGCCTACAGAAATCCTAGATAAGGTAAGTCCAGAGGAAGTACCCAACATCCAAAGTATTGCACCAGATACAGAAATAGGCTATTTACTTGAAGTTGATTTAGAAGCCCCAGTGCACTTGTATGATTACTTTGCAAATTATCTTTTAGCGCCAGAAAAGCAGATAATACCAGAAAACTGGCTTAGTCTATACAATGAAATATTTGTGCATGATAAAAATGTTGGAGAAGGGAAATATGTATCTGGAGAAAAACTAGTTCAGACCCTTTTTACTAAGAAGAATTATATAGTTCATTACCGAGCCTCCAGACATATATGAAGTTCGGAATGAAGGTTATAAAGATTCATAGCGCTCTCAAGTTTAGGCAGTCTCTGTGGATGAAGAAATATATTGAAGAAAATATTCGTAAACGCAAAATAGCCAAGGCAAATGGGGATGAGTTTGGGGTCATGTATTATAAGCTAAAAAATAATGCAGTCTTCGGCAAGCAGATGGAGAATGTCCGTAAACATATGAGAGTAGAATTACTCTGAACAGAAGATGATAAAAAAATCAGGCACCTAGCAAGTTTACTATTGTATGTAGGCTTTAAAGCATTCAAAGGGGGTATCACAGCAGTCTATATATTAAAAAGCATAGTGATTCTAAACAAACCAATCTATGTAGAGCAGGCAATTCTCAATATTAGTAAGGCTATAATGTTTAACTTTTGGTATGGTTATATAAAGCCTCACTATGGAGATAAGGCCCATCTACTTTATACTAATACAGACTTGCTCATTATGTGAATAGAAACAGATGACATCTATAAAGATCGAGCAGAGAGGCCAGACATTTTTGATCTTAACTATTCAGATGATTTATTTCTAATGAAGGATGAGACAAAGGGTATACGTATAGGAGAAACAGTATGTTTAAAGCCAAAGATGTACTCAGTCCTTCCAGCAGGACATGATCTTAAAACTCCTGATGACCCAGATTCTGAAGACCCTAAAAAGAAACACAGTATCCAAAAGGCAAAGGGTGTAAAAAAAAGTGTGGTCAAAAGAGAGCTTCGATATGATAAATTTCTAGAATGTCTTAGGAATAAGAAACTAACTCAGCATGACATATACGGTCTTCGCAGTTATGATCATCAAATATATCTGGAAAGGGTGAATAAGATAGGGTTAAATCTATATGATAACAAACGCTGGATCTTACTTGATAGAATTCGAACTCTTCCTTACAGACATTGGCGAATTGGATTATATAAACACCTGGTAGCATCTGAAATATCTTCTGAGCAAGCAGAAGAAAGAGCTATGAAAGCTAAACTTCGTGTCAAGGCATAGATGCTTTATAACAAATATTTTTTCAGGTAAAAAAAATTCTAAAGAATATATTTTCATTAATTAAAGTTTTTTTATTGCTATAGTAAAAATATATAAAATGGTTAATCATAAAGATATAGAACTTGCGCAAGTTAAAGTTATAAAAACTGCATTGCGAAAGGGCAGAAAATATGATAATCTTGCGAAAAATTATGGAGACTATCTAAAGAAATTGCGAGCTAAAAAGAATCTGAATGATTATATTAAGACAATTGTAGTTAAGATGTTTTCTAATGAAGAGGCATACACTTTAAGGCTAGAAAATTATCGCAAAAGGTATACAGATAATGATCTGTGTGCCAGTCTAGAGGAATTATATAAGCTTTATTATCAAATAGCTAAAGAAGAAAATCGCGAAAGGTCAGATGATAAAATAGAGCAGATGCTCAAAGCAATAGCAATCTAGAATAAACAAATATGGTAGACCATCTCCTGCAGATCATTAGAGGATCCTTTATAGATAGGGATCAAGAGAGTAGCTGTTCATCATTTTTCTAATGCTATTCTTAAGATTACAATTGAGAGATATATTTTTATATTAATATTTTTTTCTTATAAATTGGTGGTATCGATGTGAAATAAAAATCTATGAAGTGTATATTCTTTTTTTTCTTCACTAATCATTTACTAGATCGATCAGTCGTTAGTTCATACTTATTAAATAAAAGTCTTAGTTAATAAAATCTATGTGTTTAAAATATAAACATGTCTAATATTCAAGATATTTTTGAGGAATAGGAAAAAAATAGTTATATCTGATACTTGTTATCTAAATATGGCTTAAACTATATTAGTAATTTAAAAACACCAGAAGCTTGGCTACGATTTGCAAAGTATTATCTGCCCAAATATATACGTAAACGTTTATTTATACTAAAACATGAAATAAAAGGTAAGAACTATTGGAGAAACTTTGTATTCCGTATTAAAAATAATTTAACCAGAAGAGAATATATAGCCAATAACTCTAAATTTAGAGAATTTAAAACCCAAGTAGCATATTTTAAAACTTTGTATATAAAAAATCAACCGGCAATTATCATCCAGTGAGCATATCGTTTATAGAAAAAATGAATAAATTCAGCTAAAATAATCTAGCACGCAGTGAGGAAATGGCTTTATCGACCAGGTGGCACATTAATGAAACGTGCCCAAGATCAGTATTATCAAAATGCTAATAAACTTGAGAATTGCCAGTAGATTGAGTGATTTTGGGTTTTCTGTCCAAATCGAATTATCATTGCTTTATTTCATCTGGTTAATATATTACTAATTTGTAAATCATTCACGATTGCCAGTAGATCGATCGGTCTTTGGCTCATACTAAATAATTCATGAATGAATAGATTGCTAAATCCGAAATTAGTATCTAAAATTATTTTTTTTTAGTTATAAAGAATATACTATAAATAAGCTAAATATAAAGAATTTTATTGTAAAAACTTATCTGTACTTGCTTCGCTGATATCATCATGTCTCTTGCTAATCTTCAAAACCTTGCTCTTAATATTTTAAAAGAAACAAAACATAGTGTGGTACAAAATATTGACATTATAGAATTGCCACTATATAAAATATGTAATAAAAAAATTTTAACGGTTAACTTTAAATCACTTACAATACTTCCATGCAGTCATGCATATCATAGAAAATGTATTGAAAAAAATTTTTTACTTACGGAAGAGAACAAATGCCCTATTCCTGATTGCGACAAAATTGTTGATCCAGTAATATCTAAACGAAGGTTTTCTGAATCATCTCAGTCTAGTGGAACTTCGGCTATTGCAGATATGTTAGGCAATAATCTTGGGTTAAATTCACCAATGAATGTATCACCATTATTACCCTTATTTAATGAGGCTACCCAGAAAAACGTACTAGGGAATCACCCGCATCTACTAAAAAATTGTCTAGCAAGAAGGTGAGAAAAACTGATAGAAAGAAGATATCGCCTATGTTAAAAAAAACTTATCGAAAAATTATTAGCTAATACACCTGTTCCCGCTATTGGAGAGAACTTGGAAAAAGCAAATGAAAGTGCAACTAGTATTTTTTTGCAACTCTCTGATAAGATTGATAATGCCGAAACTAAAAATAAAGGTGCATCTCGAGGTCTTATTTTCAGCTATTTTGATTTTGGAAAAGCTGTATTTAAACGATACAAAGAATTAAAACCTGAACATGGCAAGGATGGATCTCAAACATTAGTCAAGAGTGAGGTTAAAGAGGTGATTCCTGAAGCAAAATGTTCTGACAAAGCTTTGCAGAAAAGGATGAAGAGATCTAAAAAGGTTTATAAGCTTTTTAATAGTATAGGCAAAGAAAAAATATCACGAATAAAATCCACCCTCCAGGTTTTATCTTAAATCTAACTAAGGATGAAAAGGATTATGTAATGGTCGAAATCTTAAAATGAAAAGTTTGTTAATATACTGTGCCATTTCTGCTGCGCAATTAAGTCGAGCCCGGACATCATGTCCAGACTCTACCATCAGAAAAAACAGAATTTCGTTCACATGTATTCTCAAACATATAATAAAGCATTTGCATATCCCGCCCATATCAGGCTTGATTTTTTAAATGTGTATAACTGATTGCCAAACATCATGGAAAATAATTTTCAAGCCCGGACACCATGTCCAGACTCTACCATCTGATAGTCATATATACAATAACTTACGAAGTGCCTTAACGGCCGGCTATTTCAGGAGATAAATTTAACCTGAGCTTGTATGCGTGTTCAACAGAAAAATATAGGTTTCGGGAGATAAATTTAACCGGATGCTGATCCAGCTTCTGCTCAATTTTGATGAGCTTGGACAAGCTTGTCCAGACTCTACTATTAGAAAAATAATATATTTTTTGCATGCGCATTTTATTCGTAATCATTTTCCCGAATTCCCGTTATACTTATCTGGCTAAAGAAAAAAAAATCTGAAATTTGTTTGGCCGATCATCTTATGATTTATCATTATCTCATGTAAAATTTAACCGTATCATATTGCAAGGCTTATCGTTATAACTGTATAACATGAAAAATTTATCCGTATCATCTTGCAAGGCTTATTATTATGCATAGCTAATTTGTGAGACAGAGCACAAGTGGAAATTGCCATTTTTTTCATTTTTTGACCAGGGCGCCCTGGCTGAAATTACAGTATCTAACCAAAGTCGGTCAATTAACTCATGCCACATATCGATATCAAATACTTTTAACTTCATTGTATACGTTGATATTGGTGCACATCAGTTAAACATTGACCCAATATATTTACTTCAGTAGCTAAAAATCTGTCAAATTCCGATTTAGTTAATTAACACATCTTTATACCAATATGTAAAAATCTTTTTGATAAAAGCATTCAGCAATAACATTTATATTGTGATTTATATATATATTCTCGAAAATTTTGGCTGTTCTACGCATTGTATCATAGCTATTGATATTGCATTCATCTACATTGACCCATGAAATTGATATTTTTAAAAAAGCGATCACGGGTGTGGTATCCGAAAGCAGGCCGTAAGTGCTATTTCTTCCGAAATAATAGTCTTAGAAAAATTCGAGTCAATACTGTATCACATTACGCAAATGACATATAAAAATATATACGAAATTTCCAAATGCTTCGAAATTTACTAGTTATATTGCTGTATTGTTATGACGGAACAATGATATTATTACTGTATTCAAAATCACATATATAGATTACGATTAAAAAATACACGCGTGATCTATTGTATGACAATCTGAATATTTGTATAAACTATAAAAAGGGTGACAACTTCCTTAAAAAAAATTTGTGCAACTTTTTGTCTAAGCAAGACACTTAAATAACATAAGTAACCATGTCTACTCTT